CCCGCTACCACCCCGGTCCATTCGGGCACCACCTACGCGGTCTGCTCCCACCCCTAAGCCCCGTCCCGCTCCAGCCCCCGTTCTGCATTGCATATCATATTAGTTGAACTTTTGTGCTTACAATCTTCCCATTTCTGTGTCTGTGTGTGCTCGTTCCTCTCGGTTCTTTAATTGAAATGCCTCTCAGACTAACGAGTGACTTGAGTTGCACACGTTTTGCGTTTTGTTTTGACATAATTTCCACTTGCCTGCAAAAGTGCCTGCATTATGCATCGAACGAAGGGGCGATGGGGCTCTGGGATGCCTGGGCTCTGGGCTCTGGGTTTGGGTTTGGTTTCTTTTGAGCACATATTTGCTGATTGCATATAGATAGGATTTGTCTAGTGAGTATTTACAGAGAGATAGATGGTTTGCCAGATGGGAATTTTTGAGTGTGTGATGAATGCAACACGACACGACACAAACACACAGACATAATTCCAAATCGAAATGGATACAAGGCTTCAATTGGGATTTTCAAGAGGTGGAAAACCGTAAGGATCTTCAAAGGTAAAGCCAGGCCCCTATCTTCGAAGGATGGCCCATCTCTAAGAAAATATGCTCATGAGACACTCAGTCAAATAAACCCATAAATAACCACAAAGAGGACTCATCTCTGGCCATTTGCCATAGATATACTTAAAGTTGGAAAAGTCATGCACTTAGCCATTGAGATTTTGCTTATCAATGAGCAGGCACTGATAAGAAGCCACTGCCAATGAGCCGGCAACTTCTTTCAGGCACTGTCTGATATTAATTTCATCAAGTCTCCATCAAAAGTGCAAAAGTCATGGCCTCACAAGAGTCATAATCATGCGAATGTCAAAGTTAATGCCGTCTCCAGTATCAAAAAAAAATATCAGCATAAATGTGAGAAACAGAGTTCATCATTTTATGGGCTGTCATTGTTGGGAATTGCTTTCGGGTTTGAGTTGTATTTTTTTTCTCTCTTTTTTTTTGTTGCCTTGGTTTTAGCCTTTATCTGCGTTTTGCGTTTAAGTGATTTGACGCCTCTCCAATGGCTTATGCTTTGTCATTTTCTCACCCAAAGAAGAAAAAAGAAGAGATAATATTCGACTTCAGTGGTGTGTTTTTTAGTTATGCATGAGATTGGATGTGTTTATATTGTTTTTAGGGGGGTTTAACTGCATTATAATTCAATGAATCGGGCTGGTCGAAACATATATGATTATTTTCCACCATTATGGGCGCGAAATGTGGGATTTTTAATTAAGATTAAAGCATAAATAGAGCTAGTAGCCATCTATTGAGGCATGAGGGAGCAAAAACCTATTCTATGGCGGGTTTTAATTCTCTTTTCGCCTTCGCCGCAGACCCCCTTCAATGCATTCGTATTCTGAGTCGGTCCCTGAATCCAACAACAAAATACATTATACACTTGAAATTCTCTATTCCGAAAATGCATTTATTTCCAAAGGACTTCAATTATAAATTCTGCAAAAATGAGTTCTATATTACGAATTATTCGTATAACAAATTCCCCTTGAGATTCGCTGTATGGAAGCTCGACTGTTGTATTTTCGAAGTCCTTGGTAATGATCATTTGACATTTTTTTAATCAAAAATACAAAATACAATCCTAACTCTAATAAAATAATAATCCAAGAGAACATAATATTTGAGATATATACACTAAGAAGGTGTCAAATTTTTTATAATAATTTTTTATTTATTTTATAACAATTTTTTTTTTGTAATAGTTTTATATTTTTAATAATAATTGTATTTTATAATTATTTTTTTTTTATAATAATTTTTTGTATTTTATAATAATTTGTTATATTTTATAGTAATTTTTTATCTATAATAATTTTATATTTTTTATAATAATTAAAATTTATATTTTATATGAATTTTTATTTTTTTTAAATAAATTTTATTTTTTTTCAACAATATTTTTATGTTTTATAATAATTTTTTATTATAATATTTTGTAATTTGTATTTGAATATAAAATATTATCACGGTTACAATTATGTTGTTTGCTGTTACTGTTAGAGCAACACAGGAAATCCACCCCCCAAACTATTTTACAACTTTATTCTCATCCAAGTAGTTAGGGCATTTCGTATTCCAGATTAATCAAAACAAAAAAATATATATATTTGTTTTTAAGAATAACTAATTTTATTTCTGGTCTTGTAAAATGTCGAAATTTAGTCAACTTTTGGCGAAAACACTCAATGAACCACCGAAAACACGGCCCAGTGAAATGGAATCGTTGTGCGACATCAGCTCCAGTTCCCTGGACGAATCCACGTATCAGGATGCAATGCAGGACAGCAATTCCTCAAACAAAGAGGTGCAAGTAAATCTGATGGATTCCACGCTGGAGGACCGCTTAGATTTACTCTCCCAAGAGATTCTTTGTATGAAAGCCACGATGCTGTCTTATAGAAAATGCATGACAGAAATCAATGAAGATGTCATAGAGGTTTACTCGTACATGTATGATATTTACAAACGATTTGAAAGGGAAGATCAAATGAAGCTTCAAGCCAAAGCGAAGGATCGTGTACAGAAGAGAGAAGGCCCCGAAGAAGGGCAACGAAAGGCGCCCGATGCCCGATCCGTAAGCCCAGGACGTCTTGAAGGGGGCCGTGGCTCTCAAACTGAATCCCTTAAGAGAGCTGAGAGACGACAGTTCCTTAAAAATATGCTGTCGCACAAAAAATCGGCTTTCACCATCAATCTTAATCGGAATAATGTGCACTTTCCGGAGCTGCAGAAAATACTAATGGAAAAGAAACGATTGACCCGCAATTGAATTTCGTTGACATAGAAATACACTTAAAGACAGTTTAAAGAGTGTGATTACCCCAATCAAAGCCTCTCCCACCTGATGACTTCTTTACACGTTTTTCTTTGTTGTTGGTATCCAGCTCTCTGTTTCGTTTTGTTTCGATTGCTTGGCAAACAAAACAAAGTGCAAATTTATGTGGCAAACCACTTCGAAAGAGGAAAAAAGAGGGGAATGCAAAGCTTTGATTGTTACTTGAAATGTATCTGCAGGGCAGGTCTCTCTCTCTGCCCTGTAAATGTAAATGTGTTGGCAAAGTGGCAAGTAGTCAGGTGCCTGCCCTCTTCCATTCCATTAGGCTCAAGTTAAAGCATTTTTAAAGTCGATATTTGCATTTGGTTTGAGGTGGGCTTTGGCTCTTCCATTCTATGGAATATCTAATCTTATGATAACAATTTCATTGTTTTGCCCTAAACGAGGTTAATTCGATTATGGGCTGCACAAAAGGCTGCCAACGGGATTAATTGATGAATGGTAAACCGATGGACTCTCCTGATGTCAAAGACAATTCCAAAAGGGTTCTCAGTCCCCAGTCCCCATTGTGTGCTCGTCCTTTTTTTTTGTTCCTGTTCTTAGTGCTGGCAAGTTGTGTGCACTCAAAATAATAGACCAGAGCCGGGCAAACGGAGATCCGAGTGCACAAATAGAACAAAGAATCACTGGGGCCGACGAGTAGGAGTCTGTGTTTGTGTATCTCTGACTGCTGGTCTGCTCCTCTGCTGGTCTGCTGCTCTGCTGTGTAATGGCAGCGTTTACTCAATTTTTAGTACATAGTAAACGTATTTCTTTTATGGCCCCGTAGGTTATTTGTGTGTGCTGCAGAGAGCTAGGGCATAGAGAAACAATTCCTGCTAAAAGATATACATATACGAGTATGTACATCTGTATATCCCTGACACAATAAACGAACTTCGTTTCCTGAGTGGCCATTTTACTGCGAGGCTTTTTCACATGGGTGTGAGTGGGACCATCCTCCTTTCTAAGTAAATATTCCCACACAAACTCTTTCGGGTTAGCTTTTCCTGCTACTGGTTTGCTTTTAATTGCTTTCAAGTAAACATAGAATGGTGCTGTGCCCATTTATGGGAACATAAATATAATTGCCAGGTTGGTGTTTTTTTTTGCATTTTTCGGTTTTTGGGTGGCCTTAAAATTTCAAGACCCTAGGCCATATGTGGCTCTAGATTTCTGTGCGTGTGTTCTCTGTTTGTTTATTTGTGTGCACTCTGCCCGTGGGTGTTATTTAATTTAATGCCACGATTTGGCAGTTTACATATTTACTTCTTCTCTGTGATTATTGTGGCCGACCCTTTGATTTGATTGTTAAACTGTTAAACAGGGCTTTCAGACCAGAACCAACCTCGTGGCAACACCAATCATCACTTTCGGTTGAGCGGAATATTAAATATTTAGCCCTAGTTCGACTGCGAGACGACGAAACGATATTGTATGTATTAAAGCCTTGTTTTGCCGGCCAGTGTTGCATATTTACACAAACCCGCAGTGTGAATGATTTTTTTTTTTTTTGCTTAAATCAAAGGCTGAAGAGCCCAAGGGATCTGCAGGGGGGGAGGGGAGTGCCAGTGCCAGCTGCATTAGGCCATAAATTTTCCAAAAAGTAAACAGTTAACATTTTATTGTTCTCCACCCCCACCCCCACATTCGACTGTTTTAAATAATTATTTAACATTTTACATTTTACATTGTTTAGCTCGCGTTTTTCCCTACTGTCCCAACAGAATGCGGGCCACCCCTGCACCCCCTTGCAGGAGTGGTGGGGCGGCATTTGTTTGTTGTAAAGATTTGCACGATTTGCATTTGTGCCAAAACGATTCATGAATGATTCATGTGTTCGCCAGACCAGAAGCAGATGTCGACAATACCCATTCCATGCGCATTCCCCGGGACTTCGATTCGATTCGATTTATATGTACAATGGGAATGGGGGGCACGTGCCGCGTGGCATGGTGGAAGGCTTTAAAGAGATATCCGTCCGGTCGAAAGAGGTTTTTCCGTTTTTGAATAACATCAACTTTTGGGGGGAAACTAGTCTTCCCAAAAACCACATAGACACACAAAAACAAAGCACGTCTTGCCTAGCATGCCCACGAGATATATATTGTTTCCAAGTGAAGTAGTAATGCCTAAACGACAGGACACCTCAGGAGACTGCCTCGCAGTGGCCGATGAATCCATACGTGTTGGCCGCCGGCGACCAAACATCATAGACCATGGCATGAGACCCAAGCTGGGCAAGCTGCCGATCGGCCAGGATGTGAACAGAACCAGATACAGGCTGACGGAGGATGAGCAAACCATGTGGGTGACCACCGACTCGGAGGTAATCGGTGTGCAGAAGAAATACATACAGAAAATGGGCATAGACATGGATAATTACTTCAATCCCAAGTTTCCCAACAAAGAGAAGGACCCGTCAAATAAGAACAGGGGGCATACAAAAACGAAAGTATCCAAGCCGCCCAAGCTTCCGACGATACCCGAAGAACCCGAAGAGGAGAGCATTGGATCCATGGAGCTGTGGAATTCCACGAAACTCCTGAATGCTGTGGCGGAACAAAGCGGCTCTCAAACAGCCTTCAATGTGAGGGAATGCCTAATGAATCCGACAACTGCCAGCAAATGGAGTAGAAAGAGCCTCCGCAGGCTTCAGGAGGCCGCAGGACTAGACACTGTTAAACCGGTCGATAGCCCCAAGAACTTGCAACGTCTAGGACCTGGAACTGGAGCTGGAACTGGCGCATCCTCGTATAAATCGAGGAAAGAAATTGGAGTTCGTAAAAAAAAGAAAACCCCATTGACCTCCAAAGAGAAATTGATGAAAGAACGCGCCGAACGAATGAAGATGGAAATCAATGATCTAAAAAAGTCTCAAACCGAAGCCAAAGTCAAAGAACCTTTGCCCGATAACAGCACCTACTCCTTGGGGGAATCCCATCAGAATGATCCGAAATCTGCAGTCGTTGGAGATGAGAAACCCTCAAGTTCCAGTGAAAACAATACCCTGGCAAAAGATCTGACCGTGATATATGAAAATCCCAATTTTATACAGAAAACGGACTCCAAAGGCAATTGTGTCATAAAAAAGCTGAATCAAAGCCAAACGAATTACTTTGAGTTGAAGGATACACGTTCAAAGGTAAACTCTTACTATACCACTAAAAAGATACAATATTCTAGGTGAAATCTTGAAACCGCAGGTGGAGCATAATCCAAAGGAATTGGCTGTAATTGAACTAAAATCTGAAGCCGAGAAGAGCCTCTTGCGAAGCTGCGTGGCCCAAAACGAAGACACCCTCAAGGCGATCCAATCATCGTTGAAGCTCGTCAAAGAACTGCGCCAAGAACTTGAGGGCCTAAAGACCAATAGGAGTATCAAATTCTTCGATATATCAATACCAAAAAGTACCATCCGTCTTCTTGTAACGGCTTCATTTATAATCAATATGACAGTTTTGCTGCTGGCATTGTTGGTCTATGTGAGGCTGCTGTTTAGAGAACCTGCCACACCCACTTATTGGCAGTTTATACAGAAATATTTACGCAAAAAGTAGCTGCAAATTTTATATATATAAATATATTTTTATAAGCAAAAAATCAAGCCAAATCAAAAAAGTCCTGACATAAAATCAACTTAACGTAAGTGATGTATTTTATGGAATTTTTAAGCTTAATTTTAATGATCATCTATTTACGGGCCCCTAAAGGAAAATACCAGAAATATCGGAACCTTGGGACACGCTGGGGCTATCCAGCATACAATCTTCTAGTTCTGGCTTTAAGATTACCAAAAACCTGAATCGAGAAAAGATGATTCGTTGGGTTTTATTTTCACTCCCAAATTTCAAACTGTCTCTGGAAAGTTTTTTCAAATATATATTATCTATTTTGTTATATTTTATATTTCGTTTAAATTTACTTAAGAGTTACATTAGATGTTCTCCTCCTTAAAAATTTAGTAAACTTTTTCCCAGATTTTTTTTTTTTTTTTTTTTGGAATGCCACGTCTCCAGTGGGAAATGGAGATGAAGATGGAGAGGGCTGACAATCGCGCCAGTCAGCGTCAGCGTCAGCAAATGCAAATTTAATGGTCTATGAAAAAGGTAGACCAGGCAAATGCTTTTAACCACATCCGTTGCTATTAGTGGAGCATCGAAGTCGGGGGGGAGGAGGAGTCTGAATAACAATGGAAAATGATGCCAGTGGAAATGTGAAAATCAATGCGCATTAGTGCTTGGTGTTTATTTCATCGTATTCTGCTACAGAAATTGGCTAAAGTGCGCTTACCTTTTGGCGGAATTTTACATTAGCCAGGCACCTCCAAGGGGGGGGGTGAGGGGGATAAGATATCTCCTGACCCAGAGCAGATCAAATCGCCATCAAATATACGATTTTTGTGCACCAATCAACGGGGATACAGGGATACAGAGATACATAGATACATAGATAATATACTGTACGGTATGTATTGTATTGCTGGTCTCTGACTAACATTTACTCTAATGGCATTGCCTAGTTCGGCCGCCGTACAAATATGAGCTGTGGCCCCACAAAAAAAAAAAACATGCACAAATCCTGACTGTAGGATGGATTCTGATGGAATTGGAGTGGATTTGTTTTGTGTCGCTCTTCCTCTGCCCCCTCTCTCTTTTCCTTGTGGCATTATCTGCCGTGTCCTGTCCTGTCATTCGTGCATGCAATCCAAGGCACACACACACACACACTCCCACAAAAAGGCACACTCATTCCAAGGGGGGTGGGGGTGGGGGGCAATGCATTCAAGCGCAAATTAAGCTTGACAAGCAAAAATTAAACTGTGTGTATCTCCGAGTGTGTCGCTCTCCGTCTGTATCTCTATAAATATTTCCGCACGTGTATCTGTGTGTCTTGTGTGTGTGCTTGTGTGCGTATGCGTGGATATTTCTCCCTGTTGCCTGCTTGTTTGGCAAAATATAATTTCTTCAATGTTCAGTTCATTAAACAGAGCAAACCAACTTGGAAAAGCACTTACCAATGAATAGATTTTGAGATACAGCTAAAAGAGAGAGCGATACTCGTACAGACAGAGAGAGGGAAAGAGGGTGTGAGAGAGAGAGCGAGAGGTACGGACACAATAAATATGCAAATTGTGAATTGGCACACTGCAAAATGGTCACTACTACACCAGATTATATGCCTGTCCCCTGCGCACACGATGCGCCAACCCCCGAATCACTCGCTTTACTCGTTCGTTTCACTCGCTTTACTCGTTCGTTTCACTCGCTTTACTCGTTCGTTCCACTCGCTTTGCTCCTTCGTTCCACTCGCTGCCCTGGAGTCGATATGAGTAATAACCGAAAGACACGCCAAATCTTTTTAAAGAATAAAGAAATATTTCCTTTTTATATATTAAAAGGTTCCTTCTAAACGTTGTAAAAGACAGCATCTCCTAGTATTTTCTCTTTCATTCCAAAGTTTTTTCCCTGTTAGTGGCTTTGTAGAAGGTGAAAAGAGGGTCTCTAACCATCTCAAACAATTATTCAAAGAATCGCTGGACAAAGGAAAGCCAAGAGGAAGGCCCTTGCAATCCGCCCACAAAAACTAGACTCATTTAGAGAATACTCTCATTAAAGAAGCCCCTGATAAGGCCGGGGGGTCATCTTCCCAAGAATGTATCCAATTCCATGATCAGAAGCTCACAGTGGCTTATTTTCTCTCCATTAGATGAGGGTCCGACCTCCGAGCTCCGAGCTCCGAGACCACCCCTAGAGATATTCAAATAAGTGGAGATACCAGCAAACATTGAATCTGTGCAGAATTTATCCCAATTAAAATCATTTCCCCATGGGCTTTTGCGAAATTCCGTGTTTGAAAGTGGATTTTCCAGCCCGAAATCTGGCCTGGATTTGTCCGCGGGGCCTAAATCAATTGCCAGAATCGAATGGAAACTGCCACGCTATTTCCTGGCGCCAGCCCTGCCTCTGTCCATCCCCAAACCATATTTCGTGGCATTTTTATGAGGCATAGGTGGAAAAAAATTGCCTATGCAGAGAGTCGAGAGTCGAGAGTCGATACTGAGAGTCGCCGATGCCCATGTCCGTGTCCATGTCCATGGAGAATTCCACGCTGTCAACAATCACGAACCAATTGTCTATAAATACCAGCAGCAGAAGCAGCAGCGTTAAAGCAAACCCACTCACAGAGATCCAGTTGCCACCAGTCGCTGCTGCTGCCACTGCCGAACAAACGCACAATCTCTGGCCCCGTGATTCTGGACAGGGTCCTGGACCCTCGTCATCCTATTGGTTCTGGTGTGAGGGGCCGAAAGGACACCCCCCCATTGCTACTTCCGCTCTGTCGTTTTTCATTACATCGCATGTAACTTCCGGTTTGTTAAAGCGACACGCACTGTGCTCTTGTGCCTGGTGTCTGGTGCCTGGTGCCTGGTGCCTAGTGCCTGTGCCACAGCGAATCCTTGGCTCTCCTACTCGTTGTTATGGCTGCTGACATCCGTGCAAACAGTACGAACGAATGAGCCAATGTCCTGCGGATGGGCAAGAATCGTGTATGGTAGATTTTGCAAATATTTTTTGGAGAGGATATGTTGATCAATTCTTAATACCTTCTAAAATCATTTCTTTCAAGTACAGTCAATTCAAAGCATTCCATAATGGGTATATTTTTTTAATGGCGGATAATCATAGTTTACTCTGACTCAATCTTTTATAAGCAATAATCCCTTTCAAAGTACAGTCCATTCAAAGCATTCGACTAACGATATTCCCAACCATCACGATGTCACCTCTAGAACCAACGCACACCGAATCGTCATTGAGCAGGCTTGGCTTTGACTCCCGCAGTCCAGAGTCCACACTCCCGGCCGGATCGACTGTTTGTCCGCACGTTTAGAACTGGAAATGACAAATTCACTGTAGGTGGGCCCATCGCCCATCGGCCTTCGACTGCTCGTCCTGCTCCGCTCTCCGCTTAACTCCTCCAACACGTTTGCGACTCAGCAAACACCATCATCAATTTCCGTGGGGAAATCACACAAAATTTTTGCACAAACAAAATGTTTGGTTGTGGCTCCAGGTCCGGTTCCGTACCGTTCGGCCGGACCAGCTTTCTGGTATAGAAAAAATACACAAAAAAAAAAGCGCAAAAAAATGTCCACGAATTTTTGCATGCTGTCTGCGGTGAGAGGGGTGAGGACTGAGGGGTTTATCTTCTGTACGCCGGCGGTTGGTTTGTCGTTCGGACTGCAGCTTAGCCCGTGGCGGCTCTATCGACAAGTTGAGGTGGAATATTGGAACAGAACGGAATGGAATGGAATGGAAGTAACTAAATCTGGATTTGTCTTCATTAAGGCAGGTTCTTTTTTCTTCTTTTATCAATTGAATTGTTGGAGAACAGTTTTTTCTGATGATGTTTGGGCTTTATAAATGGCAAGGTTTTTGAAGGAATAGATGATTGGAACAGATTTATTTTAATAAACTACATTACAATTTTAGATATTTTTGGTGCGTAACTCAAAAAGGAAGTGCCTTAGATTTTGAATTTGTATTTGGATTAATTCAGGACTTGTAAAAAATATATTTAAAAAAATATAAATAATGAAATAAAAACCTTTTTCTGATTAGTATTATTAAAATCAGAAAAAGCACGTATTTTTAATATTTATACCAAAAACTTTTTATAAACATTAAAAAAGATTCAATTTTTTTGTGAATTTTTAGAATAACAATTAGCAAAAATTATTTTTAATTTTAATTTGTATTCAATGTATTATAAAATTAAATTAAATAAAATGACTTTTATAAATGTTTTTGTTTTCATGTATTTGAAATAAATGTTCCAAAACACCTCTTGAAAAAATAGTGTAGCCGTATTTTGTTATTTATTTTTTTTTTTACCTATAATATAATTTATGTATGTAAATTGTATACATATTATTTATATATCATATTTTATATTGTTTGTAAATATATGTTTATATTTTTGTATATTTTTATACATTTAATTTTTTTGGGTATTAAAAAAAATTAATTTATATAATTTTTATAACTAAGAATCTACGACCAAGAATATTTAATTTAATTAAAATTTGTATATATTAAATTTATGTTTATTGTAATATCATTTTAAAAATAAGTAATTAATATAATTTTTAAAATTAAGGTTCTACGACCAAGAATATTTAATGTAAGTAAATGTAAGTAATTGTCACACATTTTTCCATGGCTTTTCCCTCATTTTATAAGCCCTTTCTAGTCAGTAGCCAGCAGCTACTTTAATCCCCAAAACAGTTGAACAATCTTCAATAAAAACTTTGCCTGGTCTCTCAAGAAATGTGCCTTTAAGTCGAAAGTTTGGTTGACCCTCAGTTAACACCCAGACGACACTCCCCCCGCATTGGCCCATTATTTGCAGTCGAGTCCCCTCTCGAAAGTGTCGCCCAATTAGCCACAATTTCGACTCATTTGTTGCACTCACTTGTGCTGGAGGGTCAAAGGACTCTCCTCAAATTATGATGTGGGATGAAGAGAGATTTTGGTTTATACTTTTGTTTTTTTTTTAGTACAGCTCTTTCGAATGTTGTTTGTTATTGTGGGTAATAAGTAGGAGTGGTCCTGGTTCTGTCCCTGCTTCCATCGTATAATTTGCGTAACATAAAACTTTCAAAAAGTCATCAAAAGTTTATGTAGACGGAAACCACCTAAGTAGGGGGAGGGTGGGGTGCAGCAACCTGTTTTCTCCCTCACCTTTCAGAGTATTTTCCATGGTGTTATGCATATGTTAACAGGGGAACGTTTCCAACGTTTCCAAGTTATGGACAACTTTTTAAAGCCT